CAACCCAAAAATAGCTGGGCATTGTGGTGGGTGCCTGTGGTCCCAGCTACTTGGGAGGCTGAGGCAGGAGACTCGCTTGAGCCCAGGAGTGGGAGGTTGCTGTGAGCTGAGATGCCACAGCACTCTACCCAGGGGGACAGCTTGAGGCTCCTGTCTCAAAAAAAAAAAAAAAAAAAAAAAAAAAAGAGAGCAGAGTTGCCATAGTCTCTGGCCTCAGGAAGCCTCTCAGAGGCTGCGAGAAAAGACAATGGTTTCTAGCAAATGTCTTTGATATTGCCCCCAATAACCCATTACGTCCAACTGATGCCCCTCTGAGAAACAAGAAAGCTGGGGTTGAAGACTTCTGAAGTGTCCAAACTGGGGCTGAACAGACACAAGTGGTTTTGGCAGAACATGGAATGCGGGAAGCTGTGCTGTGTAGATAAAGCTGTTGAAATCAGGAGAGACTCGGCCAGGGCTCCTGACTCTCTACCACATGCCAGGGAGAGCTCATGCAATCTACTTATCAAAATGTGTAAAACATAACACAAAATTTATCAAACTATTAGATTTCCTGCAACAGGTTTGATTCCTTCAACATTTGCAGGTATTGAGGTCTTGAAAAATGTTCAATGTAATTTCTTACATCATTTACATTCAGTATTTCCAGTTCCAAAGCACAAGCACTTATATGCCACATTTGTAATGAGTACACATTTTCACAAAATATTGAATTATTTGCTAAATTGTGTTAAAAGTGTATTTTTACCTCCTTTTGTGGCACTAAGAGTGTTTCATCCAACGAGAAACCTCACATGCGTCAGAGGTGTTGTTCTCTGAGTACAGGATTTCTCCCGACAATTCATTTCATACCTCCTTTTGTATCATGTATTTGTTATGTCTGGAGAGAGTCCAATGCCCCTGTAAAGACTTTATTCCCATATTTCCTGTCTTAGCAACTAATTATCACAGACTTTTCTGGCATATGCCAAGCCTGGTGCTTGCTAGAATATTGCTTCCCTTTATCTACAGAACAGTTGTTCTCCCAGGTAGAGTTTTCTTTGGTTAGTAAACAATACACTATGACAGTCCCATCTGAATTACAGACCTAAGAGTATCTCTCCTCTATGTGCTTTCGTGTACCTGAAGGCAGAGCTGGTTTTGAATACCTTAAAATTAATAACATCGATAGTTTAAGGTTTCCTGTGTCATGTATAATCAGATCAATCGTGCATGGTTGTCAGATATATCAATCCCCCGCCATACGAATTCACGCACACCATGTGAGGAGTAAGAATAAGGATTCTTCCATAGTGATTCCAATATTTCTTCAACATGGAAGGCATCAGGTGTACTTAAGTGTTAAAGCTATGGATCTACTCTCTTCAACAGTTCTTACCTCCATCGTTGATAATGCCATGTTATCTAACACCAAAAGATTTTCTGAAGACATTCTTAATTTTCTATTTCTGTGAATGGTCTCAGGTTGTCTAAGATTCATATGTTGGCTGAAGGATTTCCTCACAAGGTGGAATTTGTATGATTCGTGTCCAGTGTGAATTCTCAGTGCAGTCTAAGGCCAGAGGTTGAAGTGAAGGTTTTCCCGTATCAGTGACATTGCTAGGGATTCATGCCATGTGGAATTTAAATGTAGTTTGTAAGGCCAGATCTTTGCATAAAGGTTCTCTGAGATAGATGGCATGTCATCTAATGTCAAAACATTTTCTGAAAATATTTATTGTCTTTCTACTGTGAACTGCCTCATGTTGCCTGAAGTGATGACCTTGACTAAACACTTTCCCTCAGGCTTGACACCCATAGCACAGTGGTTATGGTGTGGGCCACATGTACCAAGGCTGGTGGGTTCAAACCCAACCCAACCCAGGTAAACAACAATGACAACTGCAACAAAAAAATAGCCAGTCGTTGTGGTGGGTGCCTGTAGTCCCAGCCACTTGGGAGGCCGAGGCAAGAGAATTGCTTAAGCCTGAGTTTGAGGTTGCTGTGAGCTATGATGCCACAGCACTCTACCCAGAACAACAGCTTGAGACTGTCTAAAACAAAACAAACAAACAACAAACACACACACTTTCCCTCACAGATGGTGTTCATATGGCTTCTCTCCAGTATGAATCCTCCTGTGCTTTCTAAGGCCAGAGCTTCTACTAAGTAATGTCCCACCTTGATGTTAGTCTCATGACTTCTGTCAGGGTGCTTCATCGCTTACTAGGATTGAGAAAATGATGCAATCATCCCCTTCCTTCCCTAAGCAACAACAACCTAAATTAGTGGGTGCACAGGTGCAGAGCCCAGCTTAGGAACAGACTCTCTTAGACATAGCTGAGACTTGGGCAACCCCAGCCGCCCGGATGCCGAAACCAGGCCAAGCTGGGGCGGAAACCCAGGAAGCCGTCCCTGGCGTCGCTTCCGTTTCCGCTTCCCACGTGTTTTCTGACCACGCCGCAGCCCCAGAGGCCACTGAAGCTTCTCCCCGAGCTGCTCCCGGCTTTGAAAGCTGCTTTAGGCTCGGCGCCTATAGCTCAACCGGCTAAGGCACCAGCCACGTACACCTAAGGTGGCGGGTTCGAGTCCCCAGCCCGGACCCGCCAAACAACAATG